GTCCTTTGCCCATTTTTTTTTAGCTTTACATTTTAATATTTATTTTAAAAATAATTTTTGACATGTACACACTGCTCTATTCATTTATTTATATTTAATTTACTTAATTAATTTATGGCTCTCCTGGGTCTTCATTGCTGCATGCATATTTTCTCTAGCTGCAGAGAGCTGGGGCTACTCTCTAGTTTCTGTGTGTGGGCTTCTCATTAAAGTGTCTTCTTGTTGCAGCACAGACTATGCTTTGCCCATTTTTAAATTGGATCATTTGTCTTTTATGTGTTGAGTTGTAAAAGTTATTTATATATTTTGAGTATTAAATTCCTATAAGGCACATGATTTATAAATATTTCTCCCATTCTATGGGCTTTTTCACATTTTCCACAATGTTCTTTGATGCACAAAAACTTGTAATTTGATGAAGTTCAGTTATCTATCGTCTTTTGCTGCTGTGCTTTCAAGTTAACTCTAAGAATACACTGGCAAACCCAAGGTCACAAAGATTTACTTCTGTATTTTCTTCTATAATTCTACAGTTTTAGGCTGTCGGCCCATTTTGAGTTAATTTTTATATATGGAGTGAGGAAGGGGTTTAACTTTATTCTTTTGCATGTGGTTATCCTATTGTTTTATCACCTCTTGTTGAAGACTATTCTTTCTCTATCAAATGGCCTTGACAACCTTGTTGAAATCAATTGGCCACAGATGTTTGAGCTTATTTCTGGACTCTCAATTCTTACATGTCTAGCCTTATGCTAGCACCACACTCTTAATTACCATAATTTTGTACTAAGTTTTAAAACTGGAATGTGTGAGCCCTCCAATTTTGTTTTTCTTTTTCAAAGTTTCAGGATCCCTTGCAGTTCCACATGAATTTCAGGATTGGCTGTTCCATTTTTGCAAAAAACGCCATTAGAATTTTGATAGGAATTGCACTGAATCTATAAATTGCTTTGGGGAATACTGAAATATGAGATATGAAATCTTCTAATCCATAAAAAATTATTATTTCCATTTATTTGGGTCTTCCCTGGTGACTCAGATGGTAAAGCGTCCGCCTATAGTGCAGGAGACCTGGGTTTGATCCTTGGGTTGGGAAGATCCCCCGGAGAAGGAAATGGCGACCCACTCCAGTACTCTTGCCTGGAAAAGTCCATGGACTGAGGAGCCTGGTAGGCTACAGTCCATGGAGTCGCAAAGAGTCGGACATGACTGAGTGACTTCACTTTTACTTTCTTTTAACTTCAGCAATGTTTTATAGTTTTTCCATGTACAAGTATTTCGTGTTTTGGTTAAATTATTTCTAGGTATTTATTCTTCAAATACTATTGTAACTGGAATTATTTTCATAATTTTCCTTCAGTTCATTCATTGATGAAGTATAGAAACAATAGATTTTTGTGTTTCGATTTTGTATTTGCAACTTTTGCTGAGTTCATTTACTACCTCCAGGACTTTTGTGGATCCTATAGGGTTTTTTATATACAATCATGTCATGTGCAAATATATACTTTTACTTCTTTCTTTCCATTTTGCTGCCTCCTATTTCTGTTTCCTGCCTAACTGCTCAGATCAGGATGTTCAGTACAATGGTGAATGAGTCAAAGTCACTTAGTCGCATCCACCTCTTTGCGACTGTATAGTCCATGGAATTCTCTAGGCCAGAATACTGGAGTGGGTAGCCTTTCCCTTCTCCAGGGGATCTTCCCAACCCAGGGACTGAATCCAGATCTCTCACATTGCAGGCAGATTCTTTACCAGCTGAGCCACAAGGGAAGCTCATTCACCACAATGGTGAATAGTAGTGGTGAAAGTGGGCATCCTTGTCTGATCCTGATCTTTTCCAGATGGGGAAAGCTTTCAGTCTTTCAACACTGAGTATGGTATGTGTTGTATGTTTTTAAAAAATGCCTTTTACCATGTTCAGGAAGTTCCCTTCTATTCCTAATTTGATGAGCGTTTTTACCATAAGAGAGTGCTGAATTTTGTCATATGCTTTTCCTGTGTCTTTGAGATGATCATGGGATTTTCCCCTTTATTTTATTAAGTTTACTTTTTTGGTACATCTTTACGGTAATAAGAGTGACAATACTAGGCAATTTAATTTCTGAAGAAATATAGAATAACTCTGTTATTTTTGAATTGTTAAAAGAGTTACATTATTAATTGGTAGGAATTTCCTTATAGAGACAGAAAGCAAGCATACATAAACAAACTGTAAAGCCAGTAGAACCACCTTTAGAATGACTATACTAGATAAAATCTCTCTGACAATATCTGCTTCAGTTACATGCACAAAGCATTTCATAAAATATTAAGAGGAACAGCAAGCTTTCATAAATAATTAAAATTAAACAGAAGTTCTTAGGGCCAGCTGTCTCCCTTTAGGGAATGAAAGGTATAGAGAGCATTATAAAATTACAATGTGTCTATGGATTACCCCCAAAATACATGTACAGTTACAATTCAGATATGTGGAAAAAAATGAACTTCCCCCAAAGACAAGCTAGTAATGGTATAGAATAAAAATCAAAAAAATTTTTTAACTTCTTTCTGGATTATCAGATCACAAGGTTGCTTTTAGCAGGATAACAAAAGTAGCAGAACAAGCTCTTTGTTAACAGAAAAGCACACGGCATAAAACTTCTAGGTGTGAGCTCTTCTGGTACTAGGAATAAAAGGGCACATCTCCTAGTTACATCATTCTTATTAAATTTTTATTACTACCACTTTCACTCTAAACATAAGAGCATCTTATTTCTTCCTCATCCCTGGGGAGTAAGATACCCATATGAGTGAATGTAGAGGAAAATAAAAGCTTATCTCTTTATGTGTCCAAATCAGTTTATACATTTTTAATTCATTTTCTATGAAAACAATATAAACTAAAGAGATAATATAGATATTAGTAGAGCATGGAAAACACTATGTGTGTGTTTGTGACCTCAGGCAAATCACATAAACTTCCTGGGTCTGTTTTCCTCTCTGCAGAATGAGCAAGATAATACCAACCTAACAGGATGTATTAAAAACTAGAAAACTGTGAACTGTTATATAAAATATTAGCACATTTTAAAGACTAAATGCTTACCTGTTTTATAAACTAAAGGCAGTGTACTCAAACATTCTTGGAAAAAGATTTTAAAAAAATTGGGGGCCAATCTCTCTGATAAAATTAGAAATGAAAAATGTCACCCACTATATACTCCCTCCATTAAATGGAAACTGGAAAAACTTCTAAATAATTCATGGGTTAATGGGTGGGGGGGAATGCAGAAGCGATTTTAAAAAGCCCTACATACCTATCACAGGATGCAATTAAAGTAGAAAGGAATTTTTTAGGCTCAGGCGGATTTATTTGAAAACAAAAGACTGAAAATATAGAACCTAATAGAAAAAGAAGCCTAAAAACATTAACTGCAATAAAGTAGAAAGAAATAATGAATATAAAGTTAATAATTAAGAAGATACGGAACAATAACACTGAGAAGTAGAACAAGAGTTGGCTTTTGGAAAAGATTAAAAAAATAGATTGGCAAGTCTGATCAAAATAAGAGAGAAAGCACAAACAATATTAGAAATAAAAAGGGAGACAATTACAGAGGCAAACAAGCTCATATGCAAATTTATGCCACCAAATTTGATAAATGAAATAGACAATTTGTCTAGGAAAGTGAAGTTACCAAAATACACTAAAAAAGATACATAAAACCCAAATGGACCAATATATATATACAATCTGATTACTAGTTAAAAATCAACTTCTTCATAAAAGGAACAAACCAAGACATTTTTATAGACTTCTACCTCTAACATTCTCTTATGGAAAATGTCAAATATATACACATTAAAATAAAAAGAACTGTACAGAAACACCTGTATACCACTACCTAGACTCTTCAATTAACATTTTTCTACATTTTCTTTCACATAACTATCCATCTACCCATCCATTTATCCTTTCTATATGTTCATCCTTTTACATCTTTTATTGAATCCTAGGGATAAAAATATAAGAATACAAAAATATGACAGGATTTCAAAGCCCCAGACTAGTGATATTTGTATTTCCACGTGAACTTAGCATTTTAAATGTTTTTCTAAAAACAGAATTGGAGCGATGGTACACTGAAAATAATAAATACACATGGAGGCAATTCAGGAAAAGAAAAGGGACACAGACTGCACCCTTTTCTTTCCTGTCTTTGGCCTCTGTCTTGTAATATGGATACCCTGATTCCTTTCCAAACAACTTTCTAAGGTATTAGCCAGTTACCACTCTTCTGGCCAAAAAAGAGAATTGAACTGGATCTTTTAAAATAGCAGTCATAAAATCAATGTATTTTAATAAATGCATTCAGTCAGGAAACATTTACTGTGCACTTAATTTATCAGAAAGAAAATAAGATTAATTAACCACAGGAACAACTTATCTTCCAAAGGACAGTTTCTCTACTGCAAAAAATTTTAATCTGTCAGATCCTAAAGAAAAACAACTTGATTTATTTTCTATGTAAACAGTGTGACATGCTAGCAAACTTGAATGAAAAGATAACTATCAAAGAATGACAGCATATAGAAGGCAAGGTTAATTGTTTAAAGCAAGATATTATAGCATTAATTTGTTTATCAATTATAAAATTTAAATTTTCCTTTTGGTGTCCTTTTATTATTCTTTGCACTGACACATGACCTTGTTTTATGAACTGAGTGCATTCAAAATTAATCTGAGTGGAAAATAAAGTTCTTTAAACCATTCTTTTCAAAAGCAACAGACATGCTAATAATGACTGATGTCCTGACACAGCCTGTATCATCACCTCCCTTTTTGACCTTCATCAAGGAGAACGAAACACCTTTCAACTTTGTTAGAAGGAATACTGTTTCCAAAAAATTTGTCCTTTAAAGTATTCTAATGTCATTGGTGCTTTCGTTTTGTTTGTATCTAAAGACATTTTAGATTCTAAATGGATATATCACATACTGGACTGAAGGTAACTTGCCTTGCTGGAGGTTTCTAATAAAAACTGGAATGTGTTTTGCACAGCTTGGCATGTCTCTAGCTCAGTCCGGCTGAAGGCTATTAAATAATCCTTAAGGTGGTCATACACATTTCCATCAAGAGCCTGTAAAAGAGTAAACAGAAGAAAAAAAATTATGAAAAAGCTCTGACATACAATGCTTGCTGTTTAAATGCTAAATTCAGTTTAAAATCTATTAATAAAAAATAAAAGATATAGGTAGGTTGCTAAGTAAAGAATAAATATAAATCTTAAACAATAAAAAAAAAACTTTAAACAATCACTTGGGAAAACATTGAATTTTTCTAATAAGTAGGAACTCAAAAAAGGTAGAGCCCAATACTGGTAAAGATATGGGGACAGTATAAAACTTGAAAGACAAAATGTTTCGTTTCTGATATTTGCTCATCTGCTTTCTAGCTATGTCAACATCTCTAGTCAGTTTATAAGATTAGGTATGGGAGCTGAATGAAATAATAGATGTAAAGGATCCACACACAGTGCCTGGAACAGAAGGGACATTCTATAAACATTAATTTCCTCCATTTTCCCTCATCCATTATTGGTAGGATTCTAAATTCATTTATTCTAACTATATAGCAATTAGAGAAAAACCACAATAGAAATAGTAAAAATTAAAAAAGAGTCAGAAATTCTGTTTTAGGGAAGAAACATCAATGCAATATCTACAAAGAAATTTAAACATTCTTATTTATTTAAGTATTTAGATCAGGACTCTTTAAAGACCATTACAGTATACTAACACATATATATGGAATTTAGAAAGATGGTAACGATAACCCTATGTGCAAAACAGAAAAAGAGACTCAGATGTATAGAACAGATTTGTGGACTCTGTGGGAGAAGGTGAGGGTGGGATGTTTCAAGAGAACAGCATCGAAACATGTATATTATCTAGGGTGAAACAGATCACCAGCCCAGGTTGGGTGCAGGAGACAAGTGCTCGGGCCTGGTGCACTGGGAAGACCCAGAGGGATTGGGTGGAGAGGGAGGTGGGAGGGGGAACCGGGATGGGGAATACATGTAAATCCATGGCTAATTCATTTCAATGTATGACAAAAACCACTGCAATGTTGTAAAGTAATTAGCCTCCAACTAATAAAAATAAATGGAAAAAAAAATAAGAAAAAAAAATAAAAGATTAACTAAAAGAAATGAAAAAAAAAAACAAAAACAAAAAATTGAAAAAAAGAGAAAACCACTAAACATTTGAAAAATGATTAAGTTATGATATACATAGTGACTAACATATGCACAGCCACCAAAACAAAAACCATGGGAACTGTGTAGATGATAAACAATGTATTGAACAAGTTTAGGTTAAAAAAGCAGAACAAATAGAATACATACATATTAGCAATAACGATGGGAAAATATATCAATGCATCAATAATTATAAAAATAAAGGTTCTGGAGTCTCGCAAATCAATAGAGATCTTAAAATGAGGGAAAATTCACACATTGAAGTCACCATTGAACTATTTTAAAGTGTACAATTCATCAACTTTCAGTACACTCACAATGTTGTACAACCATCACTACTATCTAATTCCAGGGCATGTGCACTGCTTCCAAAAGAAATCCCATACCCATTATGTGGTCACACCCATTCCTACCTTTCTCTCCATCTCTGGCAAACACTAATCTACTTTCTTCTTTTTTTAAGTGGAGGAAAATTGCTACATTATAAATGTTGTGTTGGTTTCTGTCGTACAACAACTCAAACCAGCCACAATTTTATATATATATATCATATACATATAGAGATACATATCACCTGTCTCTTGGGTCTCCCTCCCCTTCCCCAACCCTAACCCTCTAGAACACCACAGAGTACCTTGCTGGGCTCCCTGTGTTATACAGCAACTTCTCACCAGCTATCTATTTTATACATGGTAGTGTATATAGAGCTATACTGCTTTCTCCATTCATCCCACTCTCTCCTTCCCCCACTATGTCCACAAGTCTGTTCTCTGTATCTTTGACTAATCTACTTTCTAACTCGATGAATTTGCCTCTTCTGGACATTTCATATAAATGGAATCACACGATATGTGGTTTTTTGTGCCATCCTCTGTCAGTTAACATATTTTCAAGGTTCATCAATGAATTAGTAAATCATTTTATGGCTTCCCTGAAAGCTCAGTTGGTAAAGAATCCACCTGCAATGCAGGAAATCCTGGTTCGATTCCTGGGTTGGGAAGATCCCCTGGGGAAGGGATAGGCTACCCACTCCAGTATTCTTGGGCTTCCCTTGTGGCTCAGCTGGTAAAGAATCCCCCTGCAATGCGGGAGACTTGGGTTCGATCCCTGGGTTGGGAAGACCCCCTCGAGAAGAGAAAGGCTACCCACTCTAATATTCTGGCCTGGAGAATTCCATGGACTGTATAGACCATGGGGTTGCAAAGAGTTGGACACAACTGAGCAACTTTCACTTTATGGGTGAAAAATATTACATTTTATGGATATTTTGTTTATTCATTTTGTTTATTCATTCATTAGCTGGTGAATCTTTGGGTTGTTTTCACTTTTTACTTATTACGAATAATGCTCTGTGGACATGTGTACCAGTTTTTGTTTGAACACCTGTTTCCAATTCTCTTGGGTATATAATTAGTAGTGGAATTGCTGGGTCTCTCAATAGAAATTCTATGTCTAGCTATTTAAGGAACAATCTGCTTTCCACAGTGGCTGCACTGTTTTACATCCCCATCAGCAATATATAAAGGTTCTAGTTTCTCCACAATCTCAACAACATCTGCTATCTGTTTTGTTTTGTTTTGTTTTTTAATTATTCAAGCTGCCCTAGTGGTAGCTCATTGTGGTTTTGATTTTGCATTTCTTTAATGACTAATGGCATTGAGCGTCTTTTCAAGTGCTTATTGGCCATTTGTATATATTCTTTGAAGTAATGTCTACTCAAGTCCTATACACACTTTTTCAAAACTTTTCATCTTATATTGGAGTATAGCCAATTAACAATGTTGTGATGGTTCCAGGTGGACAGCAAAGCGACTCAACCATACATATACACGTATCCATTCTCCCCTAGACTCCTCTCCCATCTAGGCTGCCACATAACATTTAGCAGGGTGTTCTGTGCTATAGGATAGGATCTTATTGGTTATCCATTTTAAATATAACAGTTTCCACTCATTTTTAAAATTGGTGTTGTCTTTTTGTTGTTGAGTTAAGAGTTCTTTATATATTTACATATTTGGGCTTCCCAGGTGGCACTAGTGATAAAGAACCTGTCTGTCAATGCAGGAGAAGTAAGAGACAGGGGTTCGATCCCTGGGTGGGGAAGATCCCCTGGAGGAAGTCATGGCAACCCCTTCCAGTGTTCTTGCCTAACAAATTCCATGGACAGAGGAGCCTAGTGGGCTACAGTCCGAAGAGTTGCAGAGAGTTGCAAAGAGTCGGACACAACTGAGCGACTAAGCACATCTTACTAGATACATGATTTTCAAATATATTCTCCCACTTTGTGGGCTACCCTTTCACTCTATCAATAGTGTACAAAATAAGTGTACAAAAGTTTTAAATTTTGTTGTGGCCTAATTTAACTATTTTTTTTTTTGCTTGTGTTTTGGTGCCATATCTAAGAATTCTCAATGGAGGTTTTATAGTAAGGAAAATCTTTATTTTTTTCTTACTTTGGTTATTCAATTAAACATTTACTATAAAACTGACTTAAAACCACAAATTGTATCCTCAAAGCAGTAATAAAACTACACGTTCCATTGTGCTTAAACCACTAGATGGCACCAGCAAGCACTATAAATATAGACAGTGCAAATTCCTTAAGATTTCTTTCCATGAGGTTATGTAACATCCCCAGAGAGACTGCTGGTGTTAAGTCTGAATAATAATTCTTACCTTATGACTACTTTTCATGAACTTGTTAAAAAATGAACTTACAACTGATATGAGGTCTTTGCTTTAGAAATGCTCTTGGTAGATGGTCATAACCTTGTGTTTGCAGGAAACCACTGGAGCATTTTATTTAACACAGCAAATGGGAATACAGGCATCATGCGTTGCTACCCCCAGTCTGAGTAGGTTGGAGGTGGGGTCTGAGAATTTGTATTTTCTAACAACTTGCTGCTGGTGGTGTGGGGACCATACTTTGACAACCACTGGACTAAATAAAGAGTCATTTTAGCTGATTAGGTTGAATATTTACATAGACTTAGATCCTGGTGACCCTGTGACTCCAGCACAGTGGCTGGAGGTAGGAAGTCCATTGAGAATGGGGACAATAGCACCAATATATCAAGCAGGCAGATGAGCATCTGTCTTCAACTGAGAACCATGCTCTACTTCAGAGTTAGAAAGGCAGCATGGGAAAGAACTTGAGTTCTGAAAATAAGCTGGATATGGGTTAGAATCTCAGAACTTTTACTTCATCATTTTGATGGTTCTCTCTTCTATAAACAGGGAAAGTGGAAATACCACATACTCCATGGGACACTGTAAAGATCAACTAATGTAAGGGAATGGCACAGTGTTAGTCTCCTTTTTTGCTTTGCTTAAAAATCTTCAATGGACTGGCTACATATTGATAATTATTAAAGCTGGGTAATAAATACATGGGGGTCATTATATTACTATTTTTACTTTGGTGTATACGGGAAATTTTTCATAAAAAAAGAAAATGTAAACATCAGACTAGAAAGAAAAAATGGTGCTATCCAAAAAAAAAATTTTAAGCGCCATTATACATTTTGAAAAGTTAAAATTATTTAGCTGGTATCTAAGATCCTTTATAATCCAGTCCCAAACTACCTGTCATCAGTATCATCTCTCATCACTGTTGTCTATACTGTACTCATATCCCAACCACAAGTCATTTTGGAAAATGACATTTACTATCACGTTTCCAAGTAAGTTATTCTCTTGGCCTGCAATGTCATTTCCCTTTTCTCACCTACTCAAATAGTAATAATGATGGCAAACAGGCAACTAATATTTATTAATGGCTTACTAATGTTGCAAATGCCTTACAAAACTGATTTAACCAGTTCCTTCTTAGTGTTTCTGTAATTTTTATATTGCATGGGTATTACTGCAAGTCATGGATT